TTTTTGAATGCCTATTTATATGTATTAAATAAGTTAATATATGTAAAGTGCTTAAAATAGTATCTGACACACGGTGTGTACTAAGTAAATGCTGAGTATTGCTAGTATTATAACTATTTCATTTCAATCTTTGCCATGACAAAATTTAAATTATTATTTCACAGATGAGAAATGAAAGGTAATAAAGTAAATTATTGCCCTTTCAAGACTTGTACCAGGGCTTAGTGCTCAATTCTACCTGACGGCAAAACGGTTATCTCACAGAAGAAAGCCCTAAACTTCTGTCAGTAGATTCAGGGAAGGCTCTTAAAGTCAGCCTGAGCCTCACTCCACCCATCTGTAAAATAGAAGCCCTTGTTTCTCTGAAAATGAAAGGAAATGAATCCAGAAATTTAAAAAACTTGTATCTTAAGTCTGTAGGACTTCTTAAGTTGGGAGGCTTACAAACAATTAGAAACTTATTTCTTAGACTCCTGGAGGTGGGGAAGGCCAAGATCAAGGTGTCTGTTGAGGCCAACTCTTCACAGACTGCTGTATTTCTCATTGTGATCTCATATGGCAGAAGAGGCAAGGCAGTTCTCTTGGGCTCTTTGTAAGAATGTGAATCCCGTTTATAAGAGGTCAACCTTCGTGATTTAATCTCTTCCCCAAGGCCCTACCTCTTAATGCCATCATCTGGGGGATTAGGATTTCAACATATGAATTGAGATGGGGAGGGGTGTCACTCAAATATTTAATCCCTACCAACCAGGTTTCCAAAGTCAGGAGACTGCACTGCTATGGCATTTGTCTGACAATTACTGCTGTGATGGGTATGGATGTGTCAAGAATGGCAGGACCTCTGCTGTTGCTGCTGCCAGGTAACATTTGTTCAGACCTCACTACTTGCTAGAACTTTTCTAAGCATTTTACATGAATGTATTCATTTAATCTCCACAATAACTCTATGAGACATATTCTATCAGCTCATTTTAAAAATGCTAAAACAGAGATTGAGAGATAATTATTATCTAAGATCTCACAGTCAACAAAATGTTGTACTTTGAACATCTTGGCTAAACACCTTCTATTAGGGAATTCTCTAGAATACTAGTTGAGTGAAAGAGAAATTAGCAAGCAAGGACTCCTAAAGCCATCGCCAAGTGACCTGAAAACCACCAAAGCAGTGCCTTTCAGAAGTTGTCCCTCTGTAGTATTTCCTGGCAAAGCCTGCCAAAGCCAAAGTGAATTTAAGAATGTGGAGAATTTTCCAAAGGACACCTTCAAGAGGTTCATTGACCACAGAGAATGAGTTAGGTCATATAGTAACAAATGAATAATGCTACAATCCACAGAGGCTGGGGACTGCATAGCATGCTTATGTACAGACGTAGCTTTTCTAAAAACACTAGATCTCATTTCCTATTTTAACACCAAAAACTCGTATAATCCTGGAGATGACTTTTCATCCCTGATAGTTCATAGGCTTTGTTGTTTGCATTAGGTCAAGATCTGGACATAAAGTTGATAGACAAAATACAGATTAATGACAGATAAAAGAATTGGAAATAGGGCTGGGGATTTAGCTCAGTGGTTTTGCTGCCTGCCTCACAAGCGCAAGGTTCCGAGTTTGATCCCCGGTACCAAAAAAAAAAAAAAAAAGACAATTGGAAACATTGATTTTTATTGCTAAATATGACAGTTGTATTGAACCAAAATAGCGGTTTTCTTTTTTCTTTTATGTAATTTTTAAGCTGTGATACATTTTTCTTTTTCAAACAAAACCTTATTTATGGAAACCATAAATAAGCAGAACCAGAGGGAGCTGCCTGGGTTGAGGGGAGGAACAGTGAATGTTCTGGGACCTTAATCTCCCTCATCCAAAAAAACATTTATCACTCCATGCTTTAAGCCTATGAAAGAGAGAGAAAGCGAGAGAGACAAAGAAAGGATCTTCAGTGTTAATGTCTATCATTGGCCTTTACTGTTTATATTTAAGTTCTCATTTTATATGTTCTAATAACGGAAAATATGGGCATAGAGAGCTCTATATAACTTCTAATTACATCAGTAGTTTCTCAACTAATTCACTTTGGAGATAAGAGAAGTGCTAGTGCAGTTATTCATTATAATTGGAATTTAGAATACTAATTAATGCTTTTTCTGATGCTTCATGTATAAGACATTATGTACCACCTGTTATAAACGGTAGTAGCTCTCTACAGAACTGATCTTAAAGTGGGTGACAGAGAAAGTACAGAGAAGAAGGAAGGGCCCCCCACTTGCTCTTGGAAATCTTGATTTATATCATGGTAGAAATGACATGTAAAAGATGCTCTAGATGAACTGATGCTATTTTCCCTATTAACAGGCTTATTATTGGCCAAGGGCACTGAAGAAGACTAAGCATGTCTGTTCTCACTAGTTCATTGTTTACTTGCCAAAAGCCAGCTGTGTTTACCTTGACATTTGTCATGGCAGTTTCATTGCTTAGGTAATAATCTAATTATTAACCATGTTAACCAATAAGAAGAGTGCAAAAAAAAATTCAGCAAACTCTTGAAAAAGATTGAAAAAGGTAGTCATAAGCCATTGCTTTCTACTTAGGTGGATGCCACCACATGAAGGAGAAAAATCTGAAAGGATTCTGCAACCAAATTACTTCATAAGTATCTTTAATTTCTTACTCCACTTTAAGGAAATAAACTGGAAATCAAAGAAGATGCACTATTCTTACAGATTATGAAAGAATAATTATGTCTAATCAGCATAAGCCAGGCCCCAAAATGAACCTTGCTGTTACATCAAAAGACTGACAAATATACATTTATACATTTTTAAGTTAAAACAAAATGGTTAAAACAAGGAGATATTTTTTAATGATTTCTATTTTAACTGACTTTACACTTTTTAAATTCATTGTAAATTGACAATTTATAATTATATATATTTATGGGATGGGTGCTAGTTAACTTCCATTGTCAATGTGACAGGATTAAGAGTTTCCTGGAGAGGTGACTGGGCACAAAGCTCATCAATGGTGTTGACTTCATAGCTGAATAGGCTAGTAGGAGGTGTGGCCTACTTGGAGAAGTAGGTCATAGGGCATGACCTTGGGGACTGTATCTGATCCCTGGTCCCTTGTTCACTGGCTCTTTCTTGCTCACTCTGCTTCCTGGGCACCATTAAGTGAGGAGCTTTGCTGTACCTAATTCTTCTGCCATGATGATGTTTCTGCTTTGGAGACTGCCACCATGGACTGAAACCTCTGAAACCATATGCCAAAATAAACTTCTTCAAGTTTGCCAGTATCAGATATTTTGTTCAGCAGTGGAAAAGCTGACCAGTATACAGTACAAAGTGATATGATGACTTATGAATACAATGTAGAATAAAGCTAATTAATATATCCATCACCTCAAATACTTACCTTTTTCTGTAGTGAGAACATTTGAAATTTACTTTCTTATTTTGAAATGTATAATACAATATTATTAACTATATTCACCATCCTATATGATAGATCTCAAAAAACTTTTTCTTCCTGATATTTTGTTTCCTTTGACCGTTAGTTCCCTGTTCCTTCCAATCTCCATCCTCTAAAACCACCATTCCATTCTCTACTTTTATAAATTAAGTTTTACAGTCTACCTATAAGTGAGAACATGTGCTGTTTGTCTTTCTGGGTCTGACTTATTTCACTTAAAATAATGTTCATAAATTTTACTTGTGTTGTTAAAAAGGACAGAATTTCATTCTTTTTAAAGGCTGAACAGTATGCTAGGGTGTACCACATTTTCTTTATCTAGTCATCTGCCGATGAACACTTATGTTGATTCCATTTCTTGCCTATTGTAAACAGATCTGCAATGAACATGAGCATGTAGACATCTCTTCAACATACTTATTTCAGGTCTTTTGGGTAAAGTATGATGACTGCATCAAATGGTAGATTTATTTTTAGTGTTTTGAGAAACTTCCATAATGTTTTCCAAAATGAGTACACTAAATTCACATTCCCAATGGTTTTTTTAAAAATTAAACAACCAGGGGCTGGGTATTTAGCTCAGTGGCACTGTGCCTGCCTTGCAAGCTCAAGGTCCTGAGTTTGATCCCGGGTACCAAAAAACAAACAAACAAAAAAATTTATTATACATCAACCAGTACCACCAATTGCTGGTAAGGAAGCATCTGTTTTATATATAGTTCTTTCTTTACCTTCACATAAATGCAAAGTTTAAATGGCAGTTTTTCTACTTGGTGAATTTTAAAATTTAACGATCTGCTCATATTTTAGACAAACCAAAATACATTACACATAGGGTAATTAACATCTATGCAAGCTAAACCTACCTCATGTTCTAAAAACAGAGCTTTCAGCTGTCCTTTGGACCAAAAATCCATAGCATATGCTAGCAGCTTCATAGAGACCATATTAATTCTGAGGAAATTCCCAACAAACACAACTCTGTCAATATTCTGAAAAAGAAGTTAAAGAAAAACAAATAAATGTGGTATAAAAGTAACATTTAGCAAAGACCAAATGTTCTGTATGTCTTTGTATAGAACTTTGCATCATTAATTTTTTTTTTTTTGCCCAGCAAATTTTTAAGTGGAACTATTTCAACATCTCCAAAATGGAGAGTAAGATTTTGGTTGGGCAAAGCAGAAACAAACACTGATCTTATTTTCTGCTGTTATGTCAGATTGCATTAGGTCTGACATGAAATTCAGCTTCCCACACATATAAAATTGTAACTAGAGTTCAAGTTCAGCTAAACTTTCTTGTATATTACCTTAATCCCCCACACTTCCAAGTATAAAATACTATTATAACTAACTGATAAATGAAAGGGTGATGGCGTGGTTCAGTTTGCTCTGTGCTGAATACTGGGAATATAAAGCAGAAACAATTGTCTCTCTGCCCTCGGGATATATGGCAGAATATCCTGTTTGGTCAACATACGGATTAAAGTATGATGACACAAAATACATTTGTATTTTTGTCACTATGGATGGAGATTTGCATTCTGAACACACACTTATGAACACTCCTCTCCTATCCTGCCCATGTAGACAGGCTTCCAATCCCATAAGCTTCCATCTCCAGTGTACTTTCATCTCACAACGCTTCCCATTCCTCAAGGTATTTCTTAAGCTTAAGGCTGAGCTCAGCTTGTCTACCTTGCAGAGACTGCTCGGCACTCATTCTGCACAGAGGTAGTTGTTATGGTCACTCAACAAAAGCAAAAGAATCTTTGATGGTGGCATTGTTTTCTGCTCAGTCTATTGGTAGTAATCAGGGTCTGGGAACATCAACTTTTAACTCTTTTAAATTCTAACAATGCATGTTCACGAGATCATTAGCAGCTGAAAAATTTCCATGGGTGAAGAGGTCAAGGGTGGACTTAATAAGTTTCCATTAAAAAAAGAACCATAGCAACAAACTGCCCACATACTAAGGGATGGCAAGGAACATTCAAAGTAAGAAAAACTACAGAGGAATTTTATTAAACTTAGGTAGCCCAAGATAGGACTTGCTGAAAGCCAGTCCTGTATTACCTTAGTAGAAAGCTAAAAGGAGTAGAAGTGGCATTAAAAGCTGATGAGCATTCTGTATTTCAAATAAATTCCTGATGGGTCAAAAATATGAATGAGGAAAGAAAGAAAGAAGGAAAGAAAGAAAGAAAGAA